CTGAGTAATATATTGTATCGTCATGTATAGTTAAATTATTATAGAATGAATTACTAGTTTGATTAATATCTGTGATAATCCAGTTGGTTTACTGTTGTTGTTTTTTTCACCTATTCTTGTTTTAGTTAGGATATGGGTGACATAGTGTTAAACTGACTTTTAAAGTTTAACTCACTCGCATATTTCATAACAGATTATGAGTAATAGCAATAGATGTATTCGTCTGTCACAGACACGTAGCGAACTTGATGCCCAACTCACTCACTCAGTGTTGACACAGGTATCCACAGAGCATACAATAACAGACCTTTATCTCCCGACAGACGCAAATGTATCGGTAAATATTTTTATATATAACGCACGTCAATCTATCTATGACATAGCCGTGTTTAATCCACTGTTGATTCATAGTGTGGTTTATGTTAATCATCTATACAATAACAGACTCGTTGCCCATGTCTTAAACATATGAACTGAGAGCAATTAAGCATCTCCATCTATTCAGACAGGGACATTTACATAAAATTCTCTCTCTATGGAACACGGTTTCAGGCAGAATAGAGCCAGTATCTTACTTCTGCGAAATATGCCTGGACCTACTCTAGGGAACGACATCCATGATGATATCTCATTCCCTGGAACTGAACTAATATGAAAATGCAAGCTATATTTGTTATAACACTACATATAGTTAACTAGACTCAGAGCATATGTAACATTCATGTTAAACGATAATAAGACACATCCCTCGAACCATTCATATTCAGGTATATTCCATCCGACAACTTGGGGGTTAATACTTCGGCAACACAGCACGAAGATTTTCATCGTTAAAATATTAGTTGCGGATGAGAATGTCCTGTATCCACCCTCCCAAGACATCATATATTATGTTATCTATGAGAGTGAACTGGTCATCCAAAGAATGCATTATTGAAATACATCAATCCACAGTGGTTATTGACAGAAAAACTACTTGCACTGCAGCGGTGCTAATGTATTGTTCAAAGAGGGTGTTCATGTTTTATAGTGGTTACGTAACTGAGGCAAAGTACAATAAACGTATTTTTGCCCCTTCTAAACCCGTTCAAAAAATACAGGATCAGCGTCATCCGTCGATTTAAAAAAAAAGGGCGATAGGGCAGTCGCGCACGGCGTTTAACGTCGTCATAACGCGCGTCAACGTCACGATTCGAGGACGGGGGGGTCGGTCGAATACAGTAGAGCCACTGTCGCCTCTCCTCGGCATATTAAGAATATGGCTGAAATATTGTCGATGTGACGATAAATATTAACTCACTCATTCATTCTCAATCTCATTCTCCTTATCACGTTCATAAAGAAAGATTGCGGAATCGCACTCAATTCCTCTGCAAGGGCTCTACGGAGTCCTGGGGGATCCACTGGTGCTGGGTGACGTGTGTACACACGTCGACCGAGTTCATCCCAGACATGCTCAATTGGGTTGTCTGGCGAGCATGTTGCAACTCCATCAGCTCTACACCCTGCTGCCAAAGGAATTCCGTGACAATCTTGGTCCTATGAGGCTCAGCGTTGTCGTCTTGCAGTAAACAGGGTCGACCATAAAAACCATGCATAGCTTGCAGGAATGGTACTGCTATAGGAGCCATAATCTCGTCCCGATAACGCTGTCCGGTAAGTTCGACCACGTGCAGTGGAGTACGTCCAGTAGGAGTTATCCCTGCCAAAACCATGACCGACCCCCGCCAAATCGGCTATGCGTGGCCACAGTTGCATATGTAATTCGCTCTGCTTTGCGACAATAAATCCTCTGCCGACCATCATGGCAGGACAAATGCAATCTGCTGTCATCTGTGAAGAGCACACGAGACCATTGACGTTGATTCCAGCGACCATGATGTCTACTCCATCGCAAACGCGACTGCCTGTGACGTGGTGTTAGAAGTGGTGGATGTACTGCAGGTTGCCTACTTCGGAGTCCGGTTGCCCTTAAACGTCGACATACGGTGCTCCTGGATATCGCGGTGTTGTTTAATGCCCATCACCTCGGACTGTTGTGACTCTGGGGCGACCTGGTCGACTTGCATATTCCACGGACCCATTGGCTTGAAGTCTTTGCCACAGTCGACCAATAACACACTGACTCACATTAAAGCGGACATTAACCTGCCGCCGTGTTTGACCAGATTCCAAAAGGAATCCTCACCCCTTTCAGCAGGTGTCAAAAAACGTCTCATTTTCAGTTGCAATTTCAAACAAGTGCCTGAACAGTGAATGCCAGTGAAAAAGCATCAATGCATGTGTATTGCCCTCCACTTTCCATGGATAGAGCGACTTGCGCGTGAAGCCTCTGAAAGATAATTTTGATTGTTTACACTCGATACATTAATTATGTCATGTATCTAGCCTGTATTTAAGTCCAACAAGGAAAACTGGTTGGTTGTCTGGTCGGTTGACGCCGCACTCAGCAATATTCCAGCAATATGACGGCGGTCTGTAAATAAACGTGTCTGGACCGGAGAATCCAGTGATCAACAGCATGCGCATCGCACTACACAACTGGGATACGATGAGATGTGTCGACCAATTCAGCGACCCTGACCACCCGATCCCGTAGGTCGCTATCGCCTATTACGACAAGACTGGGTTGCTGAAGACCAATTCTAGCCCACACAGACACGTGCAGGCAAGTCGCTGTAAAAGTGCAATGATCTTGATCGTGATGTTAAATCAAATTTCACGAAGGAATGGTGCACCTGCTGACACCCTCTGAGATATCTACTTTCCCCATACAGACCCTTAGTGCTATAGACTGCTCCAAACTCACCAGCGAGGCCAGTCAGTCGGCAGCTTCACAAGTTTATCTGCCTGTAAACAGGTAATGTTAAAGGTCACATGCAACGTAAAACACAACTTTGCAGATTCTGATACCTTTCGGTATGGACTTACCGAAACAAATCGTCAAAAATGCAAATTCAGCTTATAAAGTTAAAAAATAACGCGATGAAAAAAACCGCGCGAAATCGGAGTTCAAACGTTTCACTAATTTTCCCCCGACTTTTTGGGGGAAAACGAGTTTCAACAGCTGGGCAGCGCTCATAGCACGTGCGCAGTGAAATAGGTTCGCGCAGCTTGGAAGCGGGTTGTCGGGTGAACACTCGGTGAAGGCTTTGGTGTGAGCTATTTTTCTAATGTTTTGTTGATTTCTCACAGGCGCGAGCTTTTTATATGTTATGACAGTAAATTAACTGTTTATATAATTTCATTTGTCTATTTTATACTTAAAAGCAATGTCATTATTTAGCGTTGTACAAAATTTCTAACTGTGATATAGATATGTCGTTGTCACAGACACAACTCAATGTCTTGTTTTATTGACACCTGTGTGTCTGCCTGTCTGTCTGACAATATTCAATACACAGCTTCTATCACTGACCACATGCAATTTGAACTTAACACCAATCAGGCTATACACCATAAACAAAATGCATTGATTTATGGCCCGAGTTCGGTCTCTGTCACATTATGTAATTACACAGACAGGCAGGTGTGATACTTGAACACATGACATGTTATGATGTCTCTTGATTGCAAAATGTTATACACAAAAAATGAGCATGTATTTACAAAACCCAACATCTCTATATATACACACACAATGAGCCGTGAAGGCATCTGCAAATGAACCGGCCGTTACACTTGAGTGCACACCCACCCGCTCTGACTGGGTTCGGTATCCCGGCTGCTTCGTTTCTTGGGAAGTAAACCGAAGTACACAATTTTGCACTTTTGATTTGCGATTGTACGCTTATAATTTTGTTTATATGTTTTTTCATTACCAGCAATGTATATTATATGTCATGAATAAGTGATAATTGTGTTTTAATTATGTTTGATTTTGTTAGTTGCATGTGACATTGCTTATTTGTGCTTGACAGTGAAGTGTAAAGTCACTTAAGTGCTGAACGAATGAGTTTACACGGTTCATATAACAGGGTTTTTAATGTTGGCAAACACGACAGAGTTTGCTTTACAGATGTCAATTGCGAAACCAATGTAACACTGTTGAAATGTCATCCACTAACCAGCCTGTCCTTGCTTGTATGGTACATGAAAGTTTACACGATGCAATACATCGGCCTTCCCACTGACCTTGAAACATAGATCCTTTTTTCATTTACGAAAAACTGCGCATTTACAATACATTTTTATAGTTGACGTTTTTTTTTTGGTTTTGTGCATACCAATGGAGCGCACGACTTGCAATTAGACTCGTGATTCGTTATATCGTCGATAAACGTGACCTGTATCTGGCGCATTTTGTGCAGCTAGCACTTGAAATATTGTCTGGGGCGATATAGTAAACGCGAGATATACTGGAGAGTCTTCCGTTGTGAACGTGTGTCATGTTTGAACAAGCATGTCAACCTACTTGAATACATATACTGTTTTCGGCTAGACGTAACTAATAAGAATAATTTATTTTGTTAGGTCGCGCACTATTACATAGATATTTAACATCAAAATACTTCTTTATCTTCAAATTATGTATCAAAATTTTAGAATTAACAAAACACACACACACACACACACACACAAAATAGCGAAAAATAAGTTTGATTCTGTTAGAGGGTGAAGATTATGACAAAATGTTGTTTCATAAATGAGGTCAAGTTATGATGGCATCCGATTGTAATAAGTACTTCATTAAGAGGCACAACAAGTAACCAAAATAGTAGTTAAAAAACCTTTGCCACCTGTCACCAGTTAAAAAGCATTTGTAATTGATACACAGGCGCCACCTTGTGACGGAACATAGATAAATGGCACCGGTGTTTTCGTACCTTGAAATAATTAATTCGTGGGATCTAATTGGCTAAACAGTGTTCTTTTTGTGTTGGCAGTTGACTCTGGACATGGAGCTGATGGAGAACGCCCCCTACCTGGACCAGCTACTGGACTTTCTCAAGGGAAAGGAGGAATGGTTACCTGGGAGTCTCACCGGTCGGGCTGTTCTGATAGGATCAATTGCCGGAGTAACAGTTTATCTGATCACCAAGAAGAGGTACAATTTACCGCCTGGGCCCCGAGGATTGCCGTTGCTTGGGAACCTCCTAGGTCTGTTGGTTTAGATGTATTTTATCAAATCAACTTATCTTCACTGATAAACATGATATCACATGAAATATACCTTGGCATACCCCGGGACTACAACGTATATCCGATACCTCTACCTCAGGAAATATACACAGGAAACCTAGCGTTACGAACGCTGAATATGTTGTGTTATAGAGCTTACAAAATGCAATTTAGTCGCAATAATCGGTTGGAAATCGATGACTTGGTAAACAGATGGTTAACAGTGATAAAATTACATTTGTGACGTCATTCCATTGTCTTCTCGCTCCATTACTTTTCAGGAATGGAGCGACGTGTACCAGTTTCAAATTAAAGCCTTCATTTTGTGATTTTATTTTGATAACAGAAATATTCCCAATACTTTGAATGTAATTTAAGTAGGGTAATATCCTCGTAACTCTCCATTCCTTAAAAATAATGTGCCTCGGCCCCTCCGGGGCTCCATTATTTTTAAGGAATGGAGAGTTACTCGGACATTACCCTCTACAAAATCGCAACTGCTGTCGTTTTTAACCACTTACGCAAAGGCATGGTATGCAAGTGCGAAAGGCACAAAAAGCTCTATAAAGGTGCAGAGTTCTCGATGTTGCTTCACTTCGGTTAAAGCTCTCAGCACAGATTTCATAATGTCAAGACTAAACGAAGCTCAGAGGAACAACACCATCGGACAATTGCGAGCAGGAGAGTCCAGATCAGAGGCTGCGAGTTTTGAAATGTCTCCTCTGGCACCATATCGAGGCTATGGAACCGCTACCAGCAGCAGGGATCAACACGTGGCCTTCCCAGATGCGGTAGACCACTTGTCACCACTCCTGCCCAAGACCGCTACATCCGGTTGCGCCACCTACGTAAAAGGACGACAACTGCTGCCTCTACTGCATCCTCAGTACCGGGACTGCGCAGGATCTCGGACCAGACTGTCCGGAACTGTCTACGAGAGGCAGGGTTGCGACCAAGACGTCCTGTTAGAGGCGAGATTTTGTCCAGGCAGCATCGCCAGCTACGACTGGTGTCGAGCGCATAGGGTATGGGCTTAGGGACGATGGAGACACGTGTGGTTCAGCCATGAATCCCGATTCATGTTCTGCAGGTAGGAAGTTGACAGATTTGGTGGCGATGGTGTCATGATGTGGGCAGATATCTTGGTGCACATCAGGGGGGGGAACTTAACAGCACAGCGTCAATGTCTATGAGATCTTGCGTCAGCATGTCGTCCTCACCATGGCCCACGTCAACGCTGATTTCCAGCAGGACAATGCCCGTCCTCAAACAGCAAGCATCACCGCAGCCTTCCTAGCAAATAACAACATCAACGTTCTGCCATAGCCTTCCAGATCCCCACATTAAAACCCAACTAAGCATCTTTGGGATGAATTGGATAGACGTCTGCGACGGCGACAGCAACAACCTCAGACACTACAACAGCTGTATGCCGCTTTGACGGCTGAGTGGGCTACAATTCCCCAGGCTGTCATCCGCAATCTGATTGCGTCCATGGGCAGGAGGTGCCAGGTGCCAGGTGCTCAGAGGAGTCACACACGTTACTAACTGTACGTGACGTCAATGTGACGTTGGGTCATTCGATGACTGTCACTAAAGCCTCGGTTGATGTTGTTTACGTGTAAAAAATTTCAAACTTCTTTCATTTTTAGTTCATGTAGTAAATGTCTTTGAAACATCCAATGACAATCTGGCTTTGCGTTACTTTCTTGAAGAATATATATTTACAAGGTATTCGTTTGATCACGGTTACAATACTCACGGTCTCAGTATTCTTTTCAAAAGGCTTTATGAAACATGAACGATCCATTTCCAAATTCGACGCAGAAGTGGCAAAAGTGATGTCCAGTGGGATTCCTTATTGATGTGTACCATGTGTTCCCGTGTTTATTTCAAGTGGACAGTTTACTTGCCGTTGTGTGTGTGCTTGTGAGTACCAGCAGTGAAGTACAATACACTCACATTTTCTCAACCATCATAAGGGATAACTATTTCAATGTAAAAACTGTTAAGGATCTATTTACAAATGTTCATTTTCATTTAATGATTGTTTTTTAAAAGAAATTGATTTAATTGATTCATTTTGATTGATATGTTGTACAGATAGATGCATTTTATAATTGGTATAGTTTAAATTAGCAACTGAGATTGTTAGTGACTGTATTCTCAAAGGGGATTAAATTACTGTAAGAGTACTCCTGAGGGGGTACGTAAGTCCCAGAAATTCAAGATAAATTTATTCTTACCACCTTTTTAGTCGTAGAATATGTGTCATTTTTAATGTACGCCTAGATTTGACTGAATTGCTAACGGCTGAAAGGATGGTGTAAATCCAGCTAGGGTCCAAGCAGGAAGCATATGTACTGTAAGTACCCATGGTCCTTAGTATGGTGATCTACCTTCAGTTGTTGGCAATATATAGCCTGTTTTTATATTTTTTGTCTTCTATAGTTAAAGGTTTTTTGTTTTTCATACTAGTTTTCAATCTATATCTGTGATCCTCTAGTTGTTTTACTGTCCTTCGTTGACAGGGTTTTATTATTTTACTTTATTTATTACGGCTTTATTTTCAAATCCTCGTCACGATATGGCTGCAATATTGCCTATGTGACGTTAAATTTTAACTCACTCACATTTTATCAAACATCAGGTGGCCTAACTGACGGTGATTTATAAACACGTGCTCATTAATCATTTGGAATTGTTCAACTGACTCGCTTTGGCAGATAGTCCGTATGATTAAGGATTTCGTGTTGACATTTATAAACTATGTGCAAAACAGCCATAAATGTCAATCTCATGATTGTTTACACACGTGAACGCATGTCTGAATCAGCTGTAACACGTATCTTGTTCCCGTGACAGCAGCTACTGTACACAATGTTGGAAGAAATATCATACAGACATGTGAGTTTTCTGTAATGTGAAATTATGCTTACACTCAGTTTATGAAACACAGTTGCTAATGCACATGCGTCAACGTAGGAACCAACATCACATACATTGGTAGGGATAGAAATTGTCCCTTTGAAAACAAGGTTTAAAAAGAAGTCATTTTAACTTCAGAGTTCCGGAACGCAAGTATCTACGAGAAGTTGACGGAGTGGAGGGCTAAGTATGGTCCAGTTGTGAAGTTTAATATCGGTGTGTAAACAGATATTTGAGCATTGGAAACTGTTTCAAAAGCTTTTTTTCAGAGTAAAATATATCCATGTCTTTACCACATTTACCCCTGACGCATTTGGAACCACAATTGTGTTTTGTGATTGATTGGAAAGCGAAATGACGATGGTGAAGTCACTTGTGTGAACCTATGGGTCTGGGTCAAGAAGGTTCAAGTGTACAGATAAGATATACACAAAGAACTTAATTAAGAACCCCATGTATTTTTGCAATGAAAGGTAATCAACACGTACATAAAACATCATGAGTTTTTCTGACCCGTATGATCCTTTGGCTCATAAAACAGGACAAAATGATTGGAATCCATGTTGATTTTATGATGATAATTCCACATTCATAAAAAACCCACTGATTTTCATACAAAACCATGTCTGTACAAGTATGGCCCTGGAATGTTTAGTTGGAATTTATTGGTGAAATTGAACATTTCAAAAGTCTTTTTGCGTGTCTTGCACGATTCAATGTCAATACCGAGTGTACACTCCATGTGAGTTTATGACAGACAGCACTCTCCTCCTCCTACACCCTGTCAGCATCCTGATCCTCTGAAGGGGCTGTCTACGCCATTCTACGTGTAAAGCAGCTTCCAATTGAGCCAGGTTCTGTACAGAGGATTCCTTTGTTGCACACGAAGACCGGATACGATCGGCGCTCATTCAGTCGTGACATATTTCAGGGGGTGCTTAACTAACTTCTTTGTGTATATATGTTACAATCGGTGCCTTATACTTGAGAATTCCAAGCTGAAGTGACAGCAGAAGTATTTGTAATAAAGAACTCGTAAAGTCTTAGCAAAATTCATTGTATTCAAATCTATATTCAATTATTTGAAACAAATTGTGTTGCTGTGTTGAAAAAAGGTGTATCATTCCTTGACTCACAAATATTCGTTTGAGGGAACCTCTTGAGTTCTACCTTGATCCGGGTTAGAATTGGTCTTCAGCAACCTATGCCTGTCGTAAGAGGCGACTAAAGGGATCGGGTGGTTACTTGTCAGGCTCGTGGACTTGGTTGACACATGTCATCGGTTCCCAATTGCGCTGATCGATGCTTTTGATGTTGATATCTGGATTTCTGGTCCAGACTCCATTATTTACAGACAGCCGCAATGTAGCTGTAATAATGCTTAGTGCGGCGTCAAACAACAAACCAACCTACAGGCTAGATAACATGACATAATTCATGTACTAGGTATCGAGTGTAAAAAGCAACAACATTTATCTCTTAAGTGGGGAGATTAGTTTGACTCTATCAGTAGAATATTGGATGAATATGGAGAATTGGGTATATTTTCTTTGAAAGTTATTCGCCTTGTCAGAGTGATCAAATACTGGCTTAAGATTTTGAGAAGTAAACTCGGTAGATATATAGTTTCGATATACAATTAATTATTGAATAGTTCAAATGAGAACCCTGATATTGAACATTGTTTATTGAGAGATACGCTCTTCAGGTTTGGTTTTGGTTATATTTGGGTTGCCCAGTATGTTCATGAAAGTAATGATTTTGTGAGAGAATTTACACAAGGGGCTAAGGATATATATACTCAAATATGGAAACATCCCTTATCAACTCTGTGTGAAACTAAATTGTATCTTCATATTAAGGAAACTCTGTGCATCGAGAAATACTGAACTAATATTGATGTAAAGAAGTACAGAATTGCACTTACAGCTTTCCGTCTCAGTTCACATATGCTAATGATTGAAAAAGGAAAGAGTTTGCCTAAAAATCCAATTGCTGATAGATTATGTCCCTTTAGTACTAACGAAATAGAAGATGAGTACCACGTTATCAAATTTGTCCAAAATATCGAGAAATACGCTAACAATATTTGAATAATATTCTATTGGAAAATGTAAGTACATGTATGTTTAAGCTTATCAAATTGTTAAAATGTGAAAACAGTTTTGAAGTATTTAAAACTGCGAAGTGTATTTCTTATATCTTATACGAAAGAAACAACGTTGAATATTTTTTTAAACGTTTTCATATATCCTCACTCTTGGGCAATAATAATGATAATAATGATATGATTGCTATCTATATGTGTACCTCGCCATGTGCACAGGCACATATTCCTTTGAGCTGAATTGTATTGTTTGACCTAATACAAATCTTGAATTGTATTGTCTTGGTGAATATTTCTCGTCACAGGACACATTACAATTGTGGGACTGAACCGCATAGACGTCGTCATGGAGGCCATGGTTAAAAGACAGGCAGACTTTGCTGGGCGGATTCAGATGTATTCCAGTAAATATGAGAAGATTAATTTCACCACCATTTCATCCACAGCGATAGCACCAGACACGATTTTGTTCATTTTGGTATAATGCTATAATCATTCTATAAACTGCTTTAATGACCTGTACATCTCGAAGTGATTGGCATATGGCTTCATGAAGTAACGTATGTACAGTTTGTATATTCAACTGAACAAGAACAGTTCGTACAAAAAGACGATATAAGAAAAAGAAAAAAAAGACTATTGATTTCAACCACTGATGATATACACGTATGATTCATGCCATTCAATTAAGAAATATAAGCAAACTATCGCAAATAAACTAAATGTACTCACGCTTGCACATATACGATGTTTCTCCGTAGCACTACTCCTCAGTGATGGAGGGAGGAATATCGTCTTAGGCGACTACAGTCCTACATGGAAACTGCACAGAAAGTTGGCAACAAAAGCACTGAGGTGAGCACGAAAGTGAGTGAGTGAGTTAAAAATTAAGTCACATCGGCAATATTTCAGCCCAAACAAGTTTAGAATTCACCATAAATACATGTAAATTATAAAAACATGTCATCGAAGGACAGTAAAACCGACTAGAATATCACAGTATCAACAAATAAAACTAATATCTCTCTCTAAAATTGGATTTTAAATTTGGACAATGCAGTATAAAAATGGGCTATAGATCGCCAACAACTGAAGGTAGATCACCATACCAGGGACCATGGGGACTGAAAGTGCTTTTCCTACCTGCATGGATGAGCACGAAAGGCTTTGATGAAGTGCATCAAATATGTCCCGCCCAGTTATCTAACATAAAACATAGGTGAAAGCAAAGCAATGAAACTATGTGTTAAAACATCGAATACATGAAATGTCATGATTCATACATTATAAACAGTTGTGAATGAAATCACTGAATAATGGTATTGTTGATAATAGAAGCTGGTTACAGAAATGCATCGAAGGTAATATGAAAATAGAAAACAAATTGGGAATCAAGTGGTTAAAACTCTGAACGTGTCACTGGGATGTTTGAAATTAAGTGACATCACTAAACTTGACTGATTTCGAAGAAGTTAACCCGTGATGGTCCGGGTCAGAATATTGATAACCAGTAACCCATGCTTGTCGTAAGAGGCGACTAACGGGATCGGGTGGTCGGGCTCGCTGGCTTGGTTGACTAATGTCATCGGTTCCCAGTTGCGTGGATCGATGCTTATGATGTTGATCACTGGATTGTCTGGTCCAGACTCGATTATTACAGACCACCGCCATGTAGCTGGAATATTGCTGAGTGCGGCGTAAAACAATAAAAGCTGGTTACAGAAATGCATTGAAGGTAATATGAAAATACAAAACAAAATCTGGGGTGATTATAACTGTGAACGTGTCACTGGAATGCTTGCAATTAAGTGTGTTTTTTATTTTCCTTTGCACAAGTTGATAGCAAGAAAGCACTGTGGCATAGTAAATACTAGTTTAATAATGTGATTTACAGGTTTTAAGCAAACATGGAAACACAAGATACAATAGGTGAGGTGACATAGGGTTTAACGCCGTACTTTAGCTCATATGACAACGTGCATGCGTGTGTATGTGTGGCTGCTTGTATTAGTCCAGATTTAAGCTGGTTTTATAAACACCATGCCGTGCGCAGTTAAGCATGAATTTCCCACTCAGACACGTTATACTCCGAGCCGACCCGTTCTTGTTATACCCATTAATGACGCGGGCGGACACTCTAACCATTAACCACGGAGGCGGTCCCACATGAAACAATACATTACACCATGAAGGAAAATGTGAATGTGAATGCTAATATGCAACACTTTGTTTGATAACACGTTGAATACACCCAAAAGAACTAAGCATAAATCAATTCAGTTTTATGATTACCACTGATGCTTTATTACATGTATAGAAAGCTTTCAATGTTACTGATATATGCTAGTTAGTTTTAACTCATTTTGTGATAATCTAGTAATTTTACTGTCCTTCAGTTACAGGGTTTTATATATTATATGTATGTATTATGAATTGAGAACTAGTTTTAGTCACGATATGCCTGAAATATTGCCAATGTGACTTTAAATTTTAACTCACTCACTCAATGTTGACTCTTCTTTCGTTATTAAACTGGAGTGAATACAACCAACAATATGATCGATGAAAGTCGAAATTGATATGAAGCTTTGTAATTAACGGGCGCGTCATGAATGTAACAGGATACATACCATATTTATTTCATCATAGGACATCGGAAATGCGTAACAGAAAGACACAACAACAATCAAAGGGTCACTTAGCAAATCGAAAATGATGTATTTGTTCGTTTGTGTCCTTTTCAATATTTCAGTGTGCCAGCCTGGTCGCGTGGCGAAGTATTTTGACGATCTTAGTCAGCTGCTGGATCTGAAAATATATCTGCATGGATACCATATGATACAGAAGTCTGCAAAAAGGCAATATAATGGGGGCATGGTGGGCGATGTGATCCAGCGAGCTTGAGGTGACCGGATCGAGCCCACCTGTGACCGGGTGTAAAAAACCTCGGAGTCAACTTGTGTGCAGACTCTTTCAGGGTTGTCACAACCCCTAGTGTACAGTACACAACACTATGCCCTTAAAAGAACCCACGAATCCGTTGGTAAATGACCAGATGGTGGCCACATGAATACATGCAAACACCTAGTTGCGGGTACAGCAACGTGCAGTAACTAGGACAAAGTACTGTGGCTATGTTTCACAGTTCATCCAGCTGTGAATGGGTACCTAGTAAGGATGGGAAAGCAACATTTACTCGGTGCGCCTAGTGGCTGCAAAAGTTGTATACCGGTACTTGAATAACATGCTCTGATTCTGTTTTCTGTTCTCTCTCATTGTACAGACACTACATGACGGGAAACCACCTCGACGAGGGAATAGCGCGCTCACTGACCAAAGGCATCGCGAAGATAAAGGAGATGAAGGGGCCCTTCAATCCTCATGACGTCGTCTCCCTCATCGTGTTCAACATCATCAACAACATCTGCTTTAATTTCACGTAAGTAGAACGGTACCCGGTGTTCTACGATGGGTACTGAAGGTAATAATATTATTGAAACATACGTGAAAGATCAAAACCGACTTGAAGGTTTTGTTTGAAAAAGTAAGGGAAGTTGAGAAGGGCCGATAGAACCAGGTTTTGATCCTACCTATAATAGCAATGACATGAACAATTGAAATTAAAGCATTTCGTTGGCAAGAAAAAACAAGGCTTCAATTGTCTATACTGTTGAAATCAACTGGGATGCGACTGGCAGTCGATACCTTGCCTTGCACGCGCTACCTGCAGCTGTGTCCTGCACGCACTGCCTGTCTTGTGAAGAACACATGGTTCATACTGACGAGCAATCCTAACTTTCACAGCGATCCTTAGTAGCCTAGTGCATAAAATTACCAAGCTAGTAACGAATGGTTGGTTGTTTGAAACCCGGCAACGACACACTATATTGAATGTTCTCAATATTGTGATATTTTACGATCGCATCCAATAATAACAAGACAAAGTTCAATCAATCTTCAAATCAATCTTCAAACCATGTACAAGTAAAATACTTCAAACTCAATGGCTATTCCTTAATATACTGAGTCAAAAAAAGAAACTTCACAAAATGTGAATAATTTTTCTCTGATGATACATCTATGTATCCGAAATGGGATCCCTTGCTTTCGACTCTAGAACAACGTTAGCAAAACCCACTCAAACCTATCCATTCGTCGTGCAAATGACGTTAGTGCCAAATGAGGTTTTGCACGTGCAGTCGATCACGTGATCTTCGCATTGAAGTTTTCTTCATATGCACGTGTTTGCATTGGCCTCAAGAATTGAAAAAACACTTTTAAACCACAGTTCTAACGGTACTTGAAATGCCACGATTGTCAAATGTGCAACGTGAACGTGCCGTTGGCATGTTGCAAGCGGGAAGATCAGTTATTGACGTCGCAAGAGCAATGGGATGCAGCCGTTGTACTGTGTATGACTTGCGAGGTCTTCTACATTAAACTGGCACCACTTCTGATCGCCCAAGGTCGGGTCGTCCACGTGTGACGTCACGAGCAGAAGACCGTTAAATCGTCCTACGTCACCTACGTGACAGATTTCTGCCAGCTACACGAACCAGGGCTGAGATGTTTAGAGGTCGACTGTCCTCACAGACCATTCGAAATCGGTTGTGGGCTGCCAATCTCCATTCTCGACGTCCATATCGTGGGCCAATATTGACGCCGTTTCATCAACGTCAACGTCTGCTGTGGGTCCAACGTCACCTCCGATGGACCAAGAGAGACTGGAATCGAGTCGTCTTTAGCGATGATTCCAGGTTTACCCTCAGATAGGCAGGCATAGAGTTTGGAGACGACGTCGTGAACGGCATGCCCAATGTTGTGTACAGGAAGTCGACAGATTCGGGGGCGGAAGTTGCATGGTGTGGGGTGATTTCTGTGGGAACAACCATTCCCGACTTCTGGTCATCCGTGGCAACCTCACAGCTGCTGCTTACCGCGACCAGGTGCCCACCCCCAACTCGTTCCTTTCATGGCGGCTCATGGCCCAGGTCTACAGTTCCAGCATGCTCGGCCGCATACCGCGATGTTGACACGAAAATTCCTTCAAAACGCTGGAATCAACGTCATGGACTGGCCATCGAGGTCCCCTGACCTTAATCCAATAGAGCACGTTTGGGATGCACTTGGGAGAAGGCTTCATGGTTTTAGGAACCAACCTCAGAATTTGCAGGAACTTGGCGCTTCCTTGCAAGAGCAATGGCGCAGAATCCCCAACCACGTGTTCACAAGCATCAGGCAGTCGATGAGGAGACGGTGTTTGGCAGTGGTGAATGCGCGGGGCGGCCATACACGATATTGAACTGAGAAATTTCTCATTTTTATTCTTGTGACTTGACATTCTGTATACCCATGTTTTGGAACGGCGGTGTAGCCTAATGGAACTGATTATGGCACTGTCAGTGTATCGAGTACATCACACAGATGTACTTTTATAGTGCCCTGAAGAAAGAATGTGAAGGTTTTTTTTGACTCAGTATAAATCCCTGGAAATTCGCAGGGAATGCCTGGGAAACTGACTGCTGAGGTTTGTCCTGTAAATGAAGAACCCAACTGAAAAAAAGTCACGTCACTAGAGGTTTATAAATTAACTTATATCATTTGGGGCATATTCTGTCACATGACGCGCATACCAGTACTTCATAATAAGGGCTTATCCAGCCACATTACTCTGATACCTCACGACATTTTCACTTGTTCATTCCTTCAGATGTGAGATTAGAGACAACTACTTCAAAGACATGCTGCACATTTTGAATACGTTTCTGGACGACTTCGGCAACGGCTTTCTTGAGGACATAATTCCACCTCTCCGTCTCTTCCCTACCAAGAAGGTTACAACTATAATGAAAGAAATTCATAAGTTCTTTGGCTTATTGGCTGAAGAAATTGACAAACATCGACAGACCATACGTAAAGGTGAATACTCAGTCTGTTTTTCCCCAGTTCGCTAAAGAGTCATTCTGATAATGTGATAGTCTCCCACAATAATAAATCGATGATTTTATATTACAGGAGTGTAGGTTCAATGTTAATAATGACAACCATCATATTTCTACCATTTCTAAATAATAGTATACTTTAATATTTGTCTATGCCATTGTTAAAGAGTTCAAAAACCGCGAGTGTGATAAGTATTGCATCCAAGAAAGTTTGAGCTTTAACAGAATATAAACAGAACGAAAACAAGCCCAGAACCCATTTCTGTATAAGTTTGGGTTTGGTCGCGCGGGCAGACACATACCCAGATCGCAGATTATGGTTTGGTTTATCCACTTGAATGAGTTAGTTTAGAAGTATTTGACTGTTGTTCAGTATATTACAATCGCTATTAAACATTGTAACATAAATTAACTCATTGCTATAACAGTATCGACTTGCGTCCAACTATCAGTCGATTCTGTTTCTTACGTTCTCAAAACAGATGACATCCGTGATTTCTGTGATGCCCTATTGGTGACTCAAGAAGAAGCCTATCAGGAGGAGGACCCGGATGTGATGTCACAAATGAGCGACCGACATATCACACAAACTCTTAGCAACATATTTGGTGGTACATATTCAAACCTAAGTTATCGTAATGTTTCAGTCGATCCAGTGTGACTCTTTTACTGAACGTGTTGGCATTCAGTTAAAGCTTAAGTAAATAGTTTTGTATCAAACAGGAAACACGTTTCCGCACTCCGGTCTGAGATAAAATGGTTGATCTGTTGATACTATGATTTGCATTGTACATATTAAGTTCAGCTTAGACGGATCAGCCATTCAACATATTTTGTAGTCGTTTATTCCTATCCTTTAATGATATATGTGAAGTGCCGTATCTCCACAGCGGGGATGGACACCTCTCGCTTCACCCTGCTGTGGACGCTACTGACCCTGGCTCAGCATCCAGACATTCAAGACAAGCTTCACACTGAGGTCGACCACGTTCTGGGTATGTATGTTCCTCGATTCCATAAGGTGGTATTTTGTGACGCTGGCCACGATTTGTTGGTGATGTATTTTTCTAACACTGTTCACAGTCAGTGACCTACTTACAAATATGCAACATTTTAGACAATAAACTTCAAACGATTAGGTCTGTAGAAATATTAACAGACAAATATCATATTAAAATGAATTTTGAATATATTCTCTTACACGATATCAAACCTAACAAAAATCAACCTGCCTCTCTAACCATTACAACATCTTCATCACCTTCATTTCCTGTACATTGTAACAGATATCTGAATCCTTCAGATAATAGGTTGATACTACTATGTTTGTCCTTCTTGATGGCAAGAAGACCGCTTTGTTCAGATGGTACAGGTTAGGAAGAGAATGTTATGGATGTCAACTTCTTTTTTATGAAGAGTACAACGTTTCGGGGTATATTCTTACTCCTTCATCAGGTGAGCATAAGGCCGGCCATGTAGACCATGGGGACTTTCAGTAATTTTGCTGCCTGCATGGACTTAAGTCTTGATGGGTTTGCTCCACTTTCATTTCACGATACTATTCTGACCAGGAGCGGTTGGTGGTTTTCGTCAAGGCTCCCAAGGAGTCAATATACTGAATGGTCACATGTACTGACAACAGCCACTTGATCTTGGCATCTTCCCTGTGAGTGATACTGAGAAATCTCCATTGTGTCTTTCCAGCCGTCATCAGAGACTGTTCTATGGTCATGCCACTCCACGTGCCACGCTAGAATAGGTTACTCTTACTGAGAAGTGAGTGCGTTCAACTTTTACATCGCATCGGCAATATAACAGCCATAAAGCGATGAAAACAAGGTAAATTTAAAATACCTGTCGACAAAGGACAGTAAAACCAACTAGACTATCACATATATATATATATATATATATATATATATTATAAACTAGTAATTAAATCTAAAATACTTTAACTATAGAGGATGATTCGTTGCTGTGAAGAGGCCGTTTTGCAGAGGACGATCACGTCACGGGCACAGGCTTTCAAAATCTTTGAAATATGGTCGACGCAGTTGTTATGTCCTGTGGCAGGAAACCGAGGATGCATATCTTGTTATGCTTTTAGATGAAACTGTCAGCTCTCTCATACAGACCACTGACATACAGTTCAGACAATGTAGCAACAAACTGTATTCTGGCCTATACATCTGTCATGATGTTGTTGTAGTTTAATGACATAGGTGATAGTTTGCTCGTGTTTCATAAGCTGCTTATTCAAGAGTTCCAGATCTGTCAACAACTGGATTTCTTTGATTACCATTCTTCTGAAAGTCATTCTCGTGGAGCGGCTAAGCAGGTGAAATATGCATTTAATGATAAAAGCCTGAAACTTTGCAGATTTATGGATTGATACAAAGTGAACATTTTAGAATATGGAGGCACTCAAACTAATTTCATTTTGCGCGCGCGCATTAGATAAATAATATTTTGCCTTTCTGACTGCTTTGAAAACTGCATCAATACCCTACTGGGACGTTCTGGTTTTTTAAATACTGACCCAAAATACTGGTTAAACATTTTGAAAAATCAGCTGAGTCAATGTTATGAACATTGGCTCTTGCACCAGTGCATGTAAGTGAGCACTTGCATCGGTAGTTACACCCCTTTGTACAGACAAGATACTAACTCCTGACAAGATTTTGATGCTTGGTGGAGTGTTGTCCAGAATACTGTCCACTTTCCTTCTGTATCCAACCCCAGTCAGTTGGAGATGGGAGTTCAGGCTGTGCAAGAAGTGACTGACCCTACATATTGTGGTGATATGAAGGACACTATCACTGAAGTATGTGGGTTTATTCTAGCTCAAGATGGGCTTACACAACAAGCATGGCAAGGCAGTGGCCATGTGCTCTCAACTCCCTAGAACAAGGGCAATAAGAGTTATTCCCCCTCACACTATAAATAGCACTGGGGCCCTGTTGGGGATAGAGGCCCATTTAGGGTGGTACAGTTCATACTAGAATAGCTGATACCACATCCCCCTTTGTAAGAATAGAACACTCATCAGTGAACAAGCCAGAAATAACGAGTAACTTAATGTGGACATGGCTGTGTATGAAATAATCAAAGAAATAACTTTTATGCTAAGTGGCATGCACATTTAAATGTCCATAAGCTGAAAAAGAACACTAGGATAGATTTATCTTATCCCTAGAACCCTAGACTTTAAAAGTCACTGGTCTGGCTTGACACACACTACACTGCACTACAGGTCAAGTCTGTTTGGCTTGGTGGACACCCTTCCTGATCTGGTGACTGTACTGTTTGGAGGAATGTCACTGCTTGACTGTGGCTGAGTGGAGACTGGAGATTGAAGTAGTTCTGAGTGATGTGAAGTTGACTGCTGTTGTGGTGGCAACAATACAAGATGTTTTCGATTTCTTCTCAGGAGATTATCGCCTGACTTCACTTAGTAAGAACATGGAATGTTTGCTTTCTTGTACACTTCGGCTTCCCGAGTTGCTTCAGGATCATCAACTAACACCTTATCTCCCTCCTTTACTGGTGGAAGATTGCGACTTCTGTGACGTGAGTCGTAGTCAGACTTTTGTCGCTGTTTAGATTGCTTGAAAGATGAATCAACTTCTTGTGAAGAAGGCAAATGAGGTTCAAGTTGTGATGGATGAACAGGAAGAGTTGTACGTAGATTACGTCCCATCAACAACTGCGCTGGACTGTAACCACATTGCAGAGGCGTACTTCTGTAAGTTAACAATGCCAAATATTGGTCAGTCGCTTTCTTCAAAGTCTGTTTGATGGTTTTGACAGCTCTTTCGGCTTCTCCGTTGCTTTGAGGATATCTCTGACTGCTCGTGATGTGATTGAAACAGTAGTCCTCTGAGAAAGTCTTGAAGACGAATGACGAGTACTGAGGACCGTTGTCAGAGACGACGATATCAGGAATTCCATGTCTTCCAAAGATGGATTTCAGATGGTTTACAACACATGCTGAAGTCGTACTGGAGAGTTTGGCTATCTCGATGTACTTCGAGTAGTAGTCAATGACAAGCAGGTATGGACTTGAATTGATTTCAAACAGGTCAGTGGATACCTTACTCCATGGACAAGTAGGAATTTCTGACGGGATGAGTGGCTCATGAGAGTAAGGTCGACTACGAGCACAAGTACGACAACTCATAACGATTTGTTCGATCTGAGAACTAAGTCCTGGCCACCATACAGATTCCTTTGCACGAGCACGACACTTGGTTATGCCCTGGTGAGTAGAGTGAATGATATCAAGCATTTCTGCTCTCATGCAAGATGGAATTACTAGGCTTTTTCCGAACAGTAAGAGCCCTTCGACCACGGAAAGTTCTCCTTGATAAGGCCAGTAAGATCTTGTGCAGTTTGGAAGAGATGTATAAATTGGCCATCCCTCGAGACAGTATTTCATGATGAGTGAACAGACAGGGTCTTGGCGCAACGTGAGAATTTCATCCAGACGCTGATCAGAAGCAGGTAAGTTTGCTAACGTAGATGTTTGTGTCCGCTAGAAGACAAGATTCCACAGTGGAGAGTGGCGAGTTAAGATGAGCTCTGGAGAGCGCATCTGCAGAATACAACTGCTTCCCAGGAACATGAGAAATGTCATATGAATATGCCATGAGGCGCATTCTGAATCGTTGTATTCTTGGTGGGAGTTGGTCAAGAGACTTGTTACCAAGAAGAGCGAGAAGAGGTTTGTGGTCAGTATTGATGTGAAAGTATTTTCCCAGTAGATAATCTCGGAAACGTTCGCATGCCCAAGTAATGGCTAGTGCTTCCTTTTCTACTTGTGCGTAGCGCTTCTCTGTCTCTGTCATCGAGCGGGAGCAATATGCGATTGGTTTGTGCACTCCATTGTCACATCTTTGCGAGATTACCGCACCCAATCCATAGGAAGATGCGTCAGCTGACAACACTGTCTCTGCATTTGGGTCATAATGTCCAAGAACTGGAGCACATGTGAGTTGAGATTTGATTGACTGAAATGCAGCTCGCTGGTTCCTCCCATATCCATTGTTGTTCCTTGACAAGGAGTTCACGAAGAGGCTGCGTGATGGAGGCAAGATTTGGAACAAACTTTGCAAGTTGGTTGACCATTCCGAGAAACCTTCGGATATCTGAGACATTCTGTGGTTCTGGCATTTCGAAAATAGCGCTGATTTTATCTGGGTCGGCCCGAATACCACTTTGATCGATGATGTGTTCGAGAAATTTCACTTGTGATTTGGAAAACTGACATTTGTCACTATTGAGAGTTACACCTGCGTCCCGAAGTCTGCATAAGACAGCTTCAACACGCTGATCGTGTTCATTGTCATCACGCCCATATGTGAGAATGTCATCCATTTGACAAACGACACCATCCAGTCCTTCTAAGATTTGTTGCATTCTCTTCTGAAAGAGTTCAGGTGCAGACGAAATGCCAAACGGGAGTCGATTAAAGCAATATCGACCAAAAGGTGTAATGAAACAAGTGAGAAGTTTGGATTCTTCAGACAATAGGAGTTGATGGAATCCTGAGTTAGCGTCAAGTTTGGTGAATACTCTTGCTCCGCTTAACTGACTGAGAGTGTGATCTACAGCTGGGAGTGGATGATTTTCACGTCTAACAGATTCGGTTAGTTTGGTGAGATCAACACAAATCCTTACTTTTTCCGAGGACTTGGGAACCACTACCATACCGGCACACCACTCGGTAGGAACATCGACCTTCGATATGACGCCATTGTCTTCCATAGACTGAAGTTCAAGTTTTACGCGGTCCATGAGAGGAAGTGGTACACGTCTAGGTGTAGAAATTGCAAAAGGTTTTGCATTCTCCTTGAGTTTGATGGTGTATTCGCCCTCCATTTTCCCTAATCCACAGAAAAGTTCAGGGAAATGTTCCTTCCATTTGTCACCTGTAACACTATCAATGAGTTCGATGAGGTGCAGTCCTTCAATTGCCGGTCTACCAAGTAGAGAA